TGGGTGGGGTGGGTGGCCCATGGGTCTGGCCTGGGGATGAAGGGACAGCAAGGCTTAAAAGAGTGACCGCAAAACACCCATCAAGGACAATTAAAACATTCATGTTTCTCCTATCTCTTATTGCAAGGAGGATTTAAATCCATGTCCCTGTGTTGGAGGTGGCTGATGTCCCCCTGCGACCACACCAGGGTCTGTGTCCTCACTGGACTAAGCCACATGCATGGGTGATGGTTCACAGCAGGGAGGAAAAGCTGCGTTGTGCCCATCAGGATCACTCTGGGACACAATGGGACACCCCGAGCCACAAACTCCCCAGCATTTGGGAAGTAGAACCATGGGGAGGATACAGAGGGACCCACTCATCCCCTCCCTGCGGGCAGCCTGAAGCCAGCCTGGCTCTCCTGGAGGCTGAGCAGCCATCCCAGCACAGCGATCGGGGCTGGGATCTCCAGCCAGGCTGGGCGAGCGTGCAGACACGTCTGAAGCTGCAGGACGTTCGCAATCCTCCTGGAATCTGTCAACACGCTCCCTGTGCCAACTCACAGCGCCGCGAGGAGCGCAGAGCTGCAGGGGGAAGCTCAGCTCTGGGACCCACTCCCCAGGCACCCTGAATTAACCCTTATTAGCTCACAATTAATTCTCCCTGCTCTGGGACCTGCTGGGAAAATGGCATCCCTGCGCTTCGGGGATTTCCTAGGGCACAGTCAGCTCTGTAAGCATTTCCAACAGAAAACTGTGGCCACGCTCACAACTTGACGCTAAACAAGTGCTTGGGGTCACGACTGCGTTTGGATGGTCCCGATCCCACAGATAACCATCCAGAGGGGCAGATGAGCCTATGCCCACCAACGGGTTGATACCCCAAACCAAAAAGCGTGGGATCTGCAGAGGTTTTCCCCACAAGATCTCCTTACCTGTGTGGTCGCCGTGGTGGTGGGAGTCAGCCATGCCTCCCAGCCCACTGTCTGCCTTGTAGATCTGCGTGCCGGCGTGGTGGCTCAGCTCCGCGCCGGAGTCCGAGTCGCTCTGCCCGGCTTTCACACTTTTCCTCCTCCGGGGTTGGTATTTATAATCCGGGTGATCCTTTTTGTGCTGGACCCTGAGTCGCTCAGCTTCTTCCACAAAGGGACGTTTCTCATTTTCACTTAATAAACTGGTATGGGTTGGATTTATTTTATGGTTTGGTTTTTTTTTTTTAATATGGAGGAGAGAGGGGAGAAAAAGAAATCCAAAATTAGTATATTTTCCTTAAAAGTTTCCAGCCTGTTTTCAGGCTTGCACATTCCCATTTCCCATCCACCAAATGGAGCAATCAGCAATTACAAAATGAAGAGCTAAAATCCAGGGAAAAAAATGGCTTAAAATACCAACTAGAGAGGCATGAAAAAAAGCAAGCACTATGGACAGTGATAACTCCCGAAGTAAAATCCCCTTCCCCATTTCCAACGCCTTTACCAGATATAATTCCCATGGTTTTTCCACCATCTCGCTGTGACAAACATTTCCAGCTTTGTTTGGTGCTTACAAAGAAACCACGAAGGCACCAGCAATGGGATTATTGTTTCCCAAACTCTCTCCCCTGCCTAGAACTCTATTTCAAACTCCTGGAGACGCTCAAACCGCAGCGGGAGCATCACTGGGGCGAGCAGGCAGGAGAGATGAGAGATAGGTACAGGTAGACATGATCGGATACACCACGCGGTAAAACGTGGCTGGGGCAGAGCCCTGGGAAGCAAAACCGGCTCAGATGCATCCCAGCAAACAAAAGTTTGCAGCGCTGAGCTGATAAGGAGGGAAATTAGGAAGCACATTAAACTAACTGCTAAATATTGGTTTATTTGGGTTTGGAGCTCGTTAAGCTTCAAGCAAGCCAAGAAGAAAATAAAATTGGAAATGCCATACAATAAGTAATTAAAGAAGTTTCATTGCCTGGGGGAGAGGACAGGCGAAGCCCCAGCCAGGAGAGGGAAGGCCCTGGCTGTGCATCTCGGTGATGGAGCAGGGAAAATCCATGCGTGGCACAGTGCTGGGGCAGGACTGAGGGTGCCCAAGCTCCTGCTCGGGGGATTTTTTCAGAGCAGGGACCAGCGCGTCCCGGGATGCTCGGGAAGGGCTCGTACTTCAGTTTGAAGCACTTCGAGAATCCCTCAAGAGCCGGAAAATAGAGATCAAGGAAATAAAGAAGGAAAAAGGTTTAAAGAAGCTTGAAAAAGGTTTCAAGAAGCGGTGGGAAAGCGAGGGAGGCAGAGCCCGCAGGGTGCCCCGCGGTCCCCCCGACATCCTGCATCCCTGTCCCGCACTCACCTCCAGAGCTTGCCCAGGGTCTTGCTGAGCTCGGCGTTATGCAGATGCGGGTACTGGTCCGCCAGCTTCCTGCGGGCAGCCTGCGCCCACACCATGAAGGCGTTCATCGGCCGCTTGACGTGCGGCTTGGCCTTGAGCGATCCGTTCCCGCGGACGGGCATGGGCACCAGGCTCCAGTCGTAGCCCTTCAGC